GAAAATGAGGTTTTTGCTCGCCAGGCATCCGGGTTGGGTTTTTGCGTGCTTGCGAAATGAACGTGTATGGCCGACGAGACCGGTGAGATTAGCGCACTTAGGCTAAGCACGATTCCAACCAATCTTATCTCTATCCAATATGTATGTGTTTAAGTATAAGTATGCTTTGCTTAAGTGCTTTTTTATAATTATTATCATTTTATTTTTAATAATATAATAATTTTGTTTGAAATTTCTTTTTAAAAAGTATTTCATTGTGACACGATTATCCAAAATTTTGTTTAATATTTTATTTCATTATGTATTTTATTGTTAGTTATTATAGATTTAAAATTTTAATTTTACTTTAATATTAATTAATAACTATTTAACTTTATACTTTTTTCAATTGCCAAATTAATTTATTTTTGATCGGGGTTAAAATGCGTTAAAAAATATGCATCAAATCTAAATGAATAATAAATAAAAGTTTTGTCTTCTAGTTCTTCTACTACCATAAAAATATTAAAAAGAACACCAAAATTTAAAAACAAGAGTCATTTAATGTATCATAGGGTTCTCTCTGCCCCATCTACATTCAGAAAGCCTATTTTCATTTTTTCATTTTTAATCATAAGTAATTTTTAACAGAATTTTTTGCAGATGCTGCATTATTTCTCCCCTAAAAAGGTGGAATAAAATTATTTACGCCTGATCTATTTAAGTGAGCCGCGCGTGTTTTCTTTTCCAGTGAAAACATTTTTAAATCTTGACTGCCACCCCTGGTTGCGGCACGCTAATTACATCCCCTCGCGCCGCTTGCGTGCACTTATGCCGAGGGCTGATTCGGCCGTGGGAATCACTCATCTGCCCCCGGCGCGCGAGCCCAACAGCGCCGCCGCTTCCTGTGAATTTGCATTGACAACGCCGTGGCTACCACGATATTGAAAACAAAAATTTAAAACATGGTAAAAATTTGAGTTGAGAAGACAAATCAAGACTAATTTGTGCCCTTGAATTGATAAAAACATGTATTCAAAATTACCAAAACTTTGAGTTGCTTACAAATTTAATGGCACAATTATTTACATCAAGCTGATGGTAATTATCGGGAATCGTGCCATTTATGCAACGAAAGTTCAAATAATGGAGTGAAATGGGCACTCTATATGAAAGAGGATGCCTTTCACCAAGAGCAATCATCCCTGACGCTCACACACATCCAGCGGCACTCGTTGCGCAAAAGTGAACGAAATGCATTCACGGATGAAAGGCTCTCCGGCTCGGTGAAATTGCAAAACACAGACGCTCGAAGCTGTTGAGTACCAACAAACAACTCGAGCACAATAAAAGTGCACAGGCATAATGCCGCTTCTCTTTTAATACGCGCGTCCTAACAAAGGGAAAACAAATACGCGCTTTTGTACCGGCTCATGTTTGTCTTTCCCGCTTTTTCCGAATGCAGCCGAGGGTGAACAAGTTGACACACGCAAATACTTAATGAAATCACAGCCGCTTCAGTTGGGACGCTGCAGTGTACTTCCTGTATACATTCCGGTAATTGTACTCCGGTTGCTGCCTCGGGGCACAATGAAAGGACCTGCCCTTGTCTGACGTGTGCACGCACGAGGGCTGAATTATTCACGAGCTGCTCGCGCAAATTGAATGTGTGTTCGCAAAAATGGAATGATTTTTCGTGGATCGTGCCGAGATAGAATCTCTGAATCTGCTATGTGCGCAGTGCGTGTTTTGTCAAGAGGAATAATTTGAATAAAACGAAAAAAAAACAAAAAAATTGATATTCGTGTTGTATATGATCATTATTTGATTTGTATCATTTTTTAAAAAATTGCAAATCTATTTGTTGACAGAGAAGCTGACAGGATCTTGATTTTATAATTTATTTATTTACTTAAAATTGATTTAAGACTTTGGAAGTTAAGAAAACAATCCCTGTCCTCGTTAAAAACTTTGTTTTTTTTTTTGCTGATTTTTGTTTATTATGCTTGCTCATGAAAAGGGGTTGCAGACCCTGACTGGAACTGATACAAGCCGTTTGTTTTTAGTACAAATATTAATCAAATCGCGTTTTCTTCATTTACTTAATTGATTAATAACTACTAAAATCCAATTAAAATCGATATGCATCGATATTCCAAACAAATTAATGAAGAGTATTTTAAAAATAAAATAAAAAAAGGACAAAAAAATAGGAAGAAAATCTCAATTTTCCATAATGAGATTTTTACAAAATGATAAATAAATCCATACAAAGTGCAGATTAGAGCCTCGCTCGGTTGCTCGTCTCTATCTCTGACAAAACAAGGTGTCAACTGAGCAACAGATCTCCCCCGTCGCCTTCCATCTCTCCGTGCGTAACGAGAGCACACACACTGACGCATCACTTTCCTCCCTCGCACTAATTATTAATCTTAGTTGACAAAGTTGTGACTGACTTGCCGGCGTCGTCTCCCTCCCTGGCGCGCGCGGGCCCAAAGTATAAACAGCGTGAAATTGGAGCCTTTAAAGCAAGTTTGGCCCCCGTGAAAGCAGGGAACAAGCGAGGCGGTGATTCGCGAATTCTGCAGTTGGCATTCCTTTTAAGAGGGCCTTTGCTGGGCGGTGCGTGCGGCGAAAGCGGAATTCGCTGCTGACCCTTCACGCTTATTGTACGGCCTCGAAATTTCTCACCGCCGCTTTTCACCCTCGGAAGGCTCAATTGAAATGAAAGAAAGAAACCGCTCCATCGGCTCCAGTCGAAGTGAGGGAAATAAATTTTTCCTCTTATTGGAGGAAGTTTTATTTTTTGCCATTTCGCCGGGCGGAAAAACGCGCACTTCCGTATGCAAATAAGATTTAAATGGGCGCGAAACAAAAGCGTGTAAAAGATACAGCGGAAAGTTTTTATGTGTGCGGGCGGCTCATTTCGTTCAGAAAAAAAGCAGAGCCGGAATAGGTGTTGTGAGCACACGTGTGTGTGTCTCTCTGGCTCTTTTATTACACATATTAAAAATTCTTTTCAAGCACGTGCGAGCCGGAAAACAGGGGCTGCAGTTAAGGGCTCTGCGCATTTGGAAAATTTAAAAGGACACCGCGTCGAGAAACATTACTCAAGACTTCAAACAAAAAAGTGCACACTCACCGAAACAACTTCCTTCTCGCTGGTTCCAGATGTAAAAAATTAAATAAACAATTTTTTTCTTTGTAAATTTATGTGCAAATCACATGGCTACAAAAATCCCATTAACTATGAAAAGTGTTAATTGTGCAAAGCATGCAAATTCAATTAAATATATTATAATTTTCTTCCTACCTAAACTTAAAGATTGAAAATTCAAACAGTATATAGTGGTTTCTACACTGGAAAAATGTATTCTTAAAGCTTCCTGTAATTGTAAATTTTGTGGTTGAGCTATACCTATTTATTTTTTTTAATTTAATTTAAATTATATGGGTTAATATGCAGATTTTTAATATTATTATAAATTTTAATCGGGCAGATTCTGTTATATTTATTTCCTTTGGTATATTTTTTTAATTCTTTCATCCTCATTTTTTAATCATGATATCCTGGCACATTGTAAATAACATGTACATAAAATCTATAAACAATCATAACAATTAAATTTGCCACAAGTGCCCCATAATCTAAAGAATTCTTCAATAAAGTTTCTGGAAATAATTACTAATTTCTTTTAAATCAACCATTTGGACAGAATTTTAAAATCAAATTTTTAAAATAAATATTGATATTTACTGGCTATATGACGAAAAGAATAGTTAAATATGTAAATTACAAACTTACAATTAGATTTTCCATAAATTTTTTCAAAAATAATGATAATATCATATTATGCAAAATAGCAGAATAATGTATTTAAGCTCTAATTGAATATTTGTAAATCATTTTAATTACTGAAGCTGAACAAACCAATTTCGAAATTATGATAATTGTCCAATATTTTAAATAAAAAAATTTTCTCAGCAAATCTCCACATGTATAATTATAATTAATACTATATTTCATAAATATAAATTTCTTAACATAATTTCAGTCCCAGTTAAATAAAATGGGGGCAAATGTAGCCTGAAAAGATCGATGTCCGTGCGCGCTGAACGCGAACGGGAAAAGAGAAAAATTACAGCAATTCACTGCCCAGCAGTGGCACACTCTCTCGTGCGATTCGCGGCTTGATATTTCGTGCAGAGGCAATAATAATTATTTCCGAGATTTGCCTGCTCGGAACAATGGACGAGAGGACGCGAAGGCGCGGACGACGGAAAAAACGAAACACGCCCACTTTTCTTTGGCTCCCTCGGCTTCATATGTCCTGAGTAATGCTCGGCACTTTTTCTTTTGTGCCGGCCGGTGAAAAGACTCGCTTGACATTTCTTATTTCTCCTTCATCATGCGCTCTTGAATACGACGAGGAACGCGCGCTCGCTCGCGACGCCTGCCATGCCAACTGGCACCGAATTCACCTGCGCCAGTCTTTTGTGCCGCCGAGATATTTTTTGCGCGCCGGTCACTCTGTTCTGCAGTCTATTCAGGCACTTCCGTAGATTAGAGAAAATTAACTCTAGAATTTAATTATATACACATAATAAATTTTAACATTCAGATCATAAAATTTATTATAGAATAATTTATAATACTTTCAATTATTTAAAATTAAATTAAAATTTTAATTTTGTTTTTTATATTTTTGCCTTTATTTCATCCAGGGTAGTGTTAAGCAATTTAATTTTTTTTTTAATATTGAACAGAGCAACTTAAATTGCTTTTAATAACATTATTGTTTTTAGTTTTTAAATATTCTTATCACACTTCATGCTTAAAGAAATTTTCTAATTTTGATAATTACGTGCAATTACTTAATTATTTTTTTAAATGGTACCGATAGTGAGCCGCTTTTTTTTATCTACGTGGGGTAGAGTTAATAGCCTTGTAATCTTGGTGATAACGCAGTCTGCAGACTATAAATACTACACATATTTTGAAGGGGGATTAGTCGCATCCAGCTCGCAGCCTAACCACACCTTACTATCAGAAAGATAACTGTCAAAACCCCCAGAATCACCCAAATGTTTCCAAACGGAGGCATCAGGTCGCTTCAACTGCACACAAAATTGCAGTCATGTTCTCAGCTTTACAAGTTATTCCCGTACTCCTCTGTTGCACACTGGGTAAGCCTCTTTTAAAGCTTATATTTGCGTAATTTTTACTTTTAAGTGATTCGCATTACGTTCTTTAATTAAAATGACTGATAAATGATCGACGCAGGTGAAGCAATTACCGGCGGAAGCCGCGCAGCAGTATCAGATTTTCCATATCAAATCTCCATTTGGGACTCTATTGGACACCCGTTTTGTGGTGGCGCGATCATTTCGAGTCGTTGGATTATCACCTCAGCAACATGCGCCAAAGTGTAAAATACATCTTAATACATTTTTTATTTTCAATATCAATTTTAATATATTCAAAACGTATTAGTTTTTTTTATATTTTAATTCTTTAGTTGAAAAATTCTAAATTTGTGTTACAAAAAAAGACTGGAGTTTTCTAAGAAAAAAATATAAGCTTGAGATTTATTTTGACTGTCATCAAGTTCAGAATCTATTTTTAAATTTGGGCTTAATGAGAAATAAAATAAAATATATTTAGATTGACTGTCGACCGAAATTTAAGCATATAAATGTATTAAGTCGTTTTTTTTACTATTTTCCCCAGTTTTTGTCGCTAATTATTCATGTTCTTTTATCTCACAGGCTTGAAAATCAATTTGACGGCAAAATTGCAGATGGAACTCCAGATGCCTCTAAGCCTAGAACAATTAGAGCAATATCAGAAAAAGTTATCCACCCTGATTACAACTCTCCCCCAGGCAATGCCAACATTGCACTCATTAAAGTGAGATTATATTATTGAAAATATACATTTTTTTACTCAAATTTTTTATTTCAGGTCGCCACTGACTTTTATTTTGACTTCTATACTCAAGCCGTGACTTTCAATAACAAAACCAGTCCCGTGCCAGGGGACGAGGGTTTCGTAGCTGGCTGGGGTGCTCTTCACGTAAAATCAAAATTAATGCATCGAGTTTTTAATTTCCATTCTATATCAGTACAACGGACCCGATTCTGATGAGCTAATGTACGCGAGGATGACCGTGATTGAGCACTCCGAGTGCAAAGCAAGTTTGGAGGGAAATTATCAATTGAATGCCGATCAATTTTGCGCCGGCCAAATTGGAGCAGGCATATCTACTTGCACCAGGGACTCTGGCAGTCCGATGACCGCAGACAACGTCCTCATTGGACTGGTCGCTAATAATTATTGTTCCTACAATGGCTTTCCCACGCCCTTTACTAAGGTTGGACACTACAGGGATTGGATCCTCTCTGTGGCCGGAGTCTGAAATTTATTCTAATAATTTTGTCGTTTAATAGATGAAATATGTATGAAAATTTCCATTCAAAAGAGAATATTGTTGGAAAAAAGGGCACAACCTTCAATGTAGATTTAATATTCAACATAAAAAGAGACATCAATAAAAACCTTTTGCAACTAAAAAAAGCAGACCTTTTTAAAAGTAAAATTATTATTCATTGTATATTTAAATATTATTAATTATTATTTTATTTTTGGAACAATTACTTGCTAATTTTCAATAAAAACACCTTTGTGGTTATATGATCACTGTGTTTCAGTTTAAGATTACATATAATTTAAAAACTAGAAATAAAAAATAATAATCTTCAAAAGGTAATTACGACAAAACTAAATTTATTTTGTTTAAAAATAATGAAAAACAATAAATTTATTTAAAAAACATATTTAAATAAACAATCAGTTGCATATTAATTAATATGAATGATTTTCAGTTGTTATTTTTGTTATGCAGTTGTTGAAAATAAGAAATATACTTTTTGAACACTTCATTGAATTTTTTTTTTTAGTTCAGTAATCAACTAAAACGCCACAAATAAAAGCTGACCGGCGCAGAGCGAGAAAATTGCCCCACCGATCAAAACCACTTGCCCGAAACGCGGTGTTGGAAAATTGCTCGCAAACGCAGGGTCGATTAAAAAGCCCAGCTGGCAGAATCAAGGATTGCATGCGGAGCACAAACTGTCACTGCCCCTATGCAAATGGAAAATGCAAATGCTTGTGGTGGAAAATAAATGTAGAGCGGTACATATATTGAAATTCAATTGGAGCTAGAGCGGCATTATTCAAGAATTTTTATGGCGGGGCGCTTGTTAATGCATGCGGAATGACATTCAATAATTCGCTTCCTGGCTGTCAAGAAAGAGGAAAATTTCTGTATTATATTTAAATATTTCCCCGTGCCGGGAAATCAAGGAAAAGTCTTCAATGAAATGCCACGTGCGTCTTTTTTATAATATAAAAACTATATTGCAGCGTGGAAATGCAGCAGAGTATATTGAAAGGCGCAGTGCTCCAGATTTGTTATTGACTGACTGACTGCCTGCTCGTGATGTAAATTGGAAAAATGAACCGTCCGTACATATAAATGGGCCAGCGCGTTTCCCGTGGCGAGAGAGAAGTGCTAACTTTTCATGCCGGCACATATTATGTTCCACGTAGGTGCACTCTTTTGCAAAAGTTGTACCGCGCGGCGAGAATCAAAGCGGCCTCTAGTCTCGCATCAACTTTTGCCATTTTTAACGCTTGCACTGCTGAATGAAAGGCAATTGCAGTTTTTTACGCTTTTTACAATATCACGCCTTTTGCTCTGCTATGTGAAAAGAATCAAGTGAGAATCAGCTCAAATTGCTTTCATGCGCGTCCAACGGGATGATTCATTGAAATTTTAGAATAAACATTAAAAGTTTTGGAAAAAACCCTCTTGATTAGCTTTCAATTTTGAATGAAATTAGAATAGAATAATATACTTTTTTTTTTTTGTAATATTTTCCGGTCTGATTAATTCACCTTTTCCTCTGGTGCACATTCATCACTTTCTGAAAAAATTGCCATATTCTCCGTAAATAATCCACATTTCATTTTACCACTTTCACTGAATTCGTTCTTCTTAATGTCGCCAGACGCGAATATAATTCAACGCGGACTTGGCTCTGGATTTTGCAGCGTCCACAAAAATCGAGCATCTTCTCATTTCATGGGATTAGCAGCGCTTCTTTTATCCCACCCAAATTCGAAAAGAAAAAAAAAACGCCACGCTTGCAGAAATCATTTCGTATTAACAAATGAGGAAAGAGTTCATATAATTCCGTCAATGCTCTGATTCACGCGTGACATGATTAAATTTTCACTGTGACTATATAATTTCGTCATCCACAGATAATATTATGCAGTCGGTTTGGCAGACGGAACAGCGAAACAGATCAGTCCCATCTGGCGCGATTTGTGCCTCGGGCGGAATACATTCTGGTGGCGAAACGTGGCCTGGCTAGGGAGGTTTTTCACATATAATGCACACAACACATACACACACACATGCACCAAAGGCAAGGCTCGATAATATAATATCCGTCCGTGTGAAAGCCCGAGTGCCGCTTTAATACATTTAAATACATAAATTGATATTCCGCTCTATGCCTCGACGGTCCTGTCGAACGTGAAATTTCAAACATATATTAAAATTCTACAATATACGCATGCATATATCGATTAATACATTTATATGTATATATAATTTTGGATAACAATTTAGGTCGGAGCAGATAACCTCAAAACGAACGACCGATCTCTCCCAGTGGAGGAAATTTATTGATACCGAGACAAGTGTGGCCACGAAAGGTCACAAGAGTAAATTTCCTAAGCGCTATTGATTTTCACAAGTGGCCAACCGCCGTTATTATATTACAAGAACAAAAAATTGATTCTGTACGAAAGGCAGCTGGCTGGAAATGAAATGGTGACCTATATATTTTCATTCTTTTTCTTCATGTTTATGGAAAAGCTGTTGCGGACGTTTTTCTTATACGAGCTGGGATATAGAAGAGTCCACCATTTTTTTCTTACTTACTCTTCGCATCAGCTTGTAACGAAATTGCCCCAGAGACTCGCAAAGCCATCTTTGAAGCTCCACTCGGGCTGGCATTAGAGTAATTCTTATTTATCCTGCACTGCTTTCCGTTACGGCTTACGGGGTCACCAGAGGATGAATTGAAAATTAAATCTTTATAACTCTGTATCCGTATAATTAGGCATTATTTGCAGCCATGATATCAACTTTGACAATTATTATGAATTTGGCACCAAAATTGGATGTTGTTGAAGACTTTGGTGTCAGTCTTAAATGGAATCAATTTTAGCCACTTAAGCTGCGGCCAGTGAAACGCCACCTGACCCAGATCAATTTCTCATTTTTTGCATTTGAATGCAACTTGTCCCTCTTCGCGTGGACGTTTTTGCCATTCAAACTTCTAATTGAACTGCAAGAAAAGAAAGCGTCCTGAACTGACTTGTTATATAGAGTGTCGCAATTTGGTACGAAACTCAAAAATTGTAAGAGGCGTCAGAGGCAAAATCCCTTCACTTGGTCATCATAATAAAAAATCCTACCTGAGAGAAGGTCTGCGCTGACTGGTCTCTTTCCAGGACGCATTTCAGCTGATGATGACGGGTTTGCCCGCCTGATAAGTGGATGTCTCAAAAACAGTCCAGCGCTTTTGGTTTCTGCATGGGCTCTGGTTCCTGAGATCCACTGACTGCCACTGAAATTCATACAAGTTTATTAATATGATGATGGATTTCAATATTGCGAATTGCGATAGAGATTTTCAATTCAATTGAGAAAAAGAGATAACTTTGTCCCTACCAGCCCTTCAGGGCTAATGATCATTAAAGACAACAGTTGTAAAAATTGGACTGCTCATACTACTCTATATAATGGAGCATACGCGCTGCGCCAACCTATGAAAAAACACGTCGCGGCTTATTATAACATTTACCCCCTTTTTTTTAATTCGCCAAAAATTTAAAGCCAAAGGTAAGGTCACTTATTTAACCTATTATCAACTAAATTGAAATTACACACAAATAAATGAATAAACATTACCCCAACCTTTGCAGCTCTAAATCGCTATCAGTATTAAGGGGAATAAGTTGGAGGGGACAAAGACGCTATAAACTAAAGTTGCAATTTATCAAAGCACCAGCCACCATTCAGTTTAGCTTTGTATATGCCGCGCTCGTAATTTTTAATTAAAATACTGTGATGGTGGGTTTCGCTTTAAATTTCATTCCTCTTCTGCTCTTTAGCACCGCAAGTATAAATATACAAAACACCACTTTTATTCTGCAACGTGTCATAGAGTGAATTTTTGTGCATATAGGTGAAGCAATTTCTGGTGGAAATCCAGCGCAATATGGATTTTTAAACGTTCCAAAACTTGAATACCAAGTATCCATTTTGCATTCTGGGAATAGGAACTATCCCTGTTGTGGTGGCGCGGTCATTTCTAGCCGATGGGTCATCACAACTGCGTCTTGCGTTAAAACGTAACGCTTTAAGTTAATACCAATATTTTTACATTTATTTTTCATGAATGGATCTCACGACGCCTTGCAACCTAGAACGGTCAGAGATATAATAGAGCGGGTTTTACATCCTGATTATAACTCTCAGTCTGGTTATGCTAACATTGGTCTTATAAAGGTGCGATATTTTGTTGTTGTCTCTCTCTGAAAGCACATTTTGTAATTTTGATTTAGGTATCTACCGACTTCTACTTTGAGGGCCACTATACTAAACCAGTGGCTCTAACAAACATTAATAGTACCACACCAGGTCAGTTAGGTATTGTGTCTGGTTTCGGCTCTATTTATCCTCTTTATTACGTAAGCCACTTTTAATGTTTCTTTATTATTTTTACTTTTAATATTTTTATTATCAGGTCGAACAACCAGATTCTTATAAGCTTATGTACGCTAAAATAGAAGTGATTGAGCACTCCAAATGCAAAGCAACTTTAAAGGGATATTATAATCTCAATGATGATCAGTTCTGCGCCGGCCGCATTGGAGCAGGGATTTCTGCTTGCGACAGGGATCTTGGTGGTCCGATGGTCATACAAGGCCCAGGGTCCGATCATCCAAATACGAGGGGAAAACTCATCGGATTAGTAGCGCATACGTTTTGCGCCCTCAACGGGTTTCCAACTCCCTTCACCAACGTTGGATACTACAGGGAGTGGATCCGTTCTGTTACCGGAGTTTAAAAAATATTCATTGAAAAGCAACGAAACGCAGTAAGCGTGAATTTAATGGGATTGTTATTAACATTTTCTATTAGCAAATCTGAATATTTTCTTGTGTCATTTTGATTCAATGAAAATGTTTAAATATTATTGTTATTTAAATTAATAAAAAAAAATGAAGATTTATCAGGATAAAATGTTAATTTTTTTATAATGTTCGGCTTTTGCTCGTTGCTTTTTTTCTGAATAATTCAATGGGTTTTGTCATTGAATTATAAATAAATACGCTCTCCAATAAGCTTATAAGGTTGGGCATGCTTCATATAAATAAAAAAAATAAATAAATAAAGAACATCAATTATGTAGTGTCTTTTGAACTTCTAAATCTCCACAAGTTATTTTAGTAAAAAATTGTTTTTACTATTAATGAATTATATTTTTATTTTTTTTAGATTTATTGTTTAATAATTTATTGACAAAGTATATATTATTACAAGTTTTTTATTAGTTATAGCGTCGCCGTTTAATAATTAAATTTTATATAACACATTTAAAAAAAATTAATCTTTAAAATTTTTTATTTTTATTATTAAAAAAAATTCAAATATAATAAAAGTCGCATAACTAATAAAACTGTTGTATGATCAAAGTCAAATCAATTTTGAAATTTAAGGGTGAAGTTCATGCTTTCTGATTTAGCAATGAATCAATTTGCACCAAAACAAAAATTTACATTGAAGTAGCGTACTTCTTCCAAAATAAAAATTCAAGCTGCTTCGCAAAAAGGCAGAAAAACGTAATGCTCATCGCCATAAAACTCAACAAACAATGTCTCGTAAGTTGCGAATTCAATCTTGTGCGTTGATATGTTTCCAAAGTAAGTGTATGCAAAGATGATTACGGATGTATACTGCACAAAAACTAGGGTAATCTCGTTCGGGAGTTGCGCCGCTCGCACACAGGAATCTCCTCGCTCTCCACCGGCGCGATAAAAGCGGCGATTTTTTTGCAGCTCAAAGTGCCGCTCGCTCGCTCTGGTGCAAAATGGAGTGCGTCGTTTGCAACTTTATCAATGAGATTTCCTGTCTAGGCTGTGCTCCGGTGTTGCAGGTACACTCACGAGGCAAATACGGGGGCATTTAGAACCCCTTATCTCGGTGCGAGGCGGTTTTATGTTTTTCTAGCGCGTGCACCGCCCCCATAAATTTGCATGCACAAATTCCTGATACACACACATATACACCGACGACAACGACGACGTTATTTTATCTCCCCAGGGAGGAATTTGCGTTAGGCAAAGATTACCAGCCGGAATCGGCTCATTTTCCCGCTCATGTATAGACAGGGGTCATGGGTTTATATAGTTGTTATAAGCAATAAAGGCCTTTTGTACTCGTGCATTTTGGTTTCTGGTCAAAAATTATTCTGGGGCGTAATTAAAATTTGTTTAACGTATAATCATTATTTTTGGCAATAATTATAAAATTTAATGACAGAATGAAAATTAATTTGAAATTAATATTTTTTTAAATGCATAGATTTTTATTATTGTTTTTTTTTTAATAATAAAATTATATTAGAATTTAAGTGAAATTGACAATGAACAGGGTCTACTTATTTAAATAATAAATAAAAAAGACATAAAATGACAATAATTGATCTGCAATTAATGGAATAATACGAGCTTTTATTGTTGCTTGTTACTGGCCCAAAAGTTGCAACACATATAAAAAAATGGACTTTGCTTTTGTTCGTTGGACAAACTTATGCATTTGAGGTCATTTCTGTCGATAACCCATTCCGACATTTCACCTTCCAACCCAAAAGGCTTTTTGTCAACAACATACAGTGTGTTGGCATAAAAATCCATGGTCGGAAACATGCTTACGGCGGCTGTTTGTCTCGCCGGACGCATATTTCATCACTTTTATCCTCGTCGGCGGCCGACCCGAAATTATCTCCGTCTGGGTGCAATAACGCCCGCCCGCACAATTTTGCTGGCAAAGTTGAATGAAGTGAGCGGGCGCGACCCCCTTTAACAGCGTGAAATATTAAACAACAACCCCTAGCTCTTTCTCCCGCACACTGCATGCTGATGACGTATCGTGTCGGGCAGAGGGAGGCAATTTTTATTCGCAGCAGGCAAATATGGGCGTAGAATGTTTATTGGGGGTCTTTAGTGGGTCAATATTTCCACGCCAACAACGAATTGGCAAATTACTCATCAAACCAAATCACAATGAATGAGCAGAACGGAAAAAAAGTTAATCTTAAGTAAATAAGAATGTTAAGTAACTATTTACAAATATATATTAATAAATAGAATTATAATACATGTAAAAAAAATTGAATTTTTCAGTTCATTTTTTCATTTATCTTTTTAGCCGTTAATGTTAATTATTAAATTAATAATTTCCAGGATTTTATATTCATTAAACAAGAAAAAATACATTATAATGACTTATTTTCAAATTGGTCAACCTAAGACAAAGTATCTTTATTTTTATTTTTTATTTTAGTGCTCTTTTAAGAGTTTGCTAATCCTTTTTTAAAATTGACTTCTACTCAAATATTAACAAAGGAGGCCTAATTTACTAAGGTGGTTATCATAAATAATTACATCATTTAATACAGACCGCGGAGGATAAAAATAAAATTAAAATGAGTCTATGAATTTGGTAATAAAGTTTTTACAAAATTTTGATGTAGAAACATTTTTTTTCTAAATTCGTTTTCCTTTCAAAAAGGCGTGCAAATAAAAAGCTTTTTTTATTATTTTTGAGAGTGAGAATTTCAATTATTACATTTTTTTTTATTTTTTCACTCCACCGTGTGGCGCGCCTTTGTGCGTCTTGTTTCAAATTCATAACACAAGCAAGCAGTCCGGAAGTCAAACCTAATAAACCCGGCCGTAAAACATGCTCGCAAACCAACTGCACGCCCAACTCATGCGAAGTCGGCAAACGAGCCGACGCAAGCGAAAGCCGGCAAAGAGCGGCGCATCCCAAATTGTTGGAGAGCGGCCGGGCTTTTCTGCGGTTAGACAAATGTGGCGGAAGAATTAGAACAATACTTCTGGCAGTGGTCAGACTGCACAAAGCAAAAATGAGACGGGACTTTTGCCAATGGAAATAATTCAAAGGCAAAATGAGATTTCGCAAAGCAATTATTTATCCGCCACACCGACGCCGGGGCGAACGAGCAATTTGCAAATTGCCGCAGCCAGTTTTCCTCTTTATTTATTTGCAACTTCAGTGTCTTCATTACGTCAAATTTATATGTGCTCCGTAAACGCCAGGCATCGCCTTTGCGGCCGCACCAAGAGGTCTATTCAATTATACGGTGGAGGAGGAGGACGCCGGTGGCTTTTAATGCCAGAATAAATGTGCGAAATGTAGTCCTCATAGAGCACAAGTGGACAAAAACAAACACATTATATACCGTCGAGCCTTGGCCAAGTTTTGCGAGCGTGTAAACACGATGCTCGGCGTGTAGCACTCTCTGAGCAAATATTTGCTAATTTATGGCGGCTGCGTTGGTGCCATTTGATATTTGGCTGCGCAATGCAGTATGTTCACTTACGAATTACATTCAGGTCAGACTCGGCAATACGCTTCCTTGGCCAGTTAAGTGAGCTAAATTGGATAGGATTTTTTTATTATTAAATTTACTCTTCTCTAAATTTAACCAAATGTGAACAGAAGCAAAATTGTTGGATAGTTTTAAAGTTGAAACAGTTTAATTTTTATCTCCTGAACAACATCAAAATTGAGAAGATCAAATATCATGATAAATTAATTTGATTTTGGATGTAAGAGTTTTGAAACGCAAATTCGAAATCGTTGAATTATGTAAAAATGTAATTTTGAATATTTTTTAATGAAAAATATTTTTAAAAGATTGATTTTTTACATAAGTCAAAATGATTTCACAGCTCATTAATTATGGCTGCAGCCCGCAGCCGAAACATGTAGAGCTGAATATGGTTTTTTCTTCAACAATAAACAGCTCACAAAAACCACTGAGAAAAAGCCAATTTTAAATTAAAATCACCATGAGGTAATTCGATTCATTTTTTTAATAAAAAAGCAGTTAATGAAAAGTATTGTCTTGATTGTGCAAAATTAAAATAAATTAGGTTATCACATTATATATTCCTATATATTTTTTAGCTCTTGAATATATCTCTATGTCAATATCTAATTAAAAAATTGCAACAGGTGGAAATAAAGATAAGTTTATGCTTCGTATTAACCGGCTATACCATGTCCGTGGTGTTTTTATTCTTCATAAACATGGATTATTCATAGCTATCCCATTGGAGACCGCAGCAACAGGGGACACGTTTAATTAAACTTTGCAGAAACACAATTTGGCGGTCTCAAATTGTCTCTCGCTCGCTCCCACTGGCAGGACTAAACTAAGAGAGCGGTTGGGTAAGAAAATTTGGTGGAAAAAGCCTCTCGTAGCTTCTTGGTTTGAGACTTGGCTAACGAAGAAATTACTCACAGAGAGAAAGCAAAAGGGTGAACACGGAGGAGAAACATCTGCATCTCCTCTGGGCAAACAATTTAACTTCTCCAAGGGCGCGCGTCGAGTAAAGACGGGCCAAATTAAAACGGTAAACACTAATAGAAATAATACTCGTCTCTCTTTCTCTCCAGAGAGATGCGAAACGCGATCCAAGCAGGCACCTGACGGCCGCTATCCTGCTTTGAAACGGCACTCGTCTTTTCCGCTCTCAATTTCCCTATGGCGTCTTTCCGTTCGCCGGCTTGATCCACACACACAGGCAACTTCGCGAGAAAGAAAAAAAGAAAGTTCGATATAAATCCTGGCGAGAAACGTGCTATGGCGTTTTTATTGCTCCATTTTGACAAAAAGCTGCTCAATACCTGCTGCAGGGAGCTTCCTTACTTGCTCTTCTTCCTCCTCCTTTTCTCTTTCTCTCTCATATTGCTCGCCTAACATTCCACCTGGCTAATATTGCGAAATGAGCTCGCACGCTCCGAACAACGTGCAAACATCCTTGCTGCAGGGGCCACCAAAATTCTTCCTCATGCGCAGTTTTTTTGGAATATCGAGCCAATATTGAGCCTAAATTTTGAACAGTAGGACCAATATTGAGCCTACTTTGTGTTGGAGTTTTTTTCTGGCAATTTCAATCCAGATTCAATTTGTAAAAAAAAAAATTGAAATCACTGAAGAAATATATATTACTATGAATATAATCAGGAATATGTAAAACACACAATGCAATTTAAACAAAAATGCTGTCAAAACAGCTACCATTATTATATTGATAGCGAAATATTAGAAAGAATCAAGTGATTGAAAAGAGACAATTCGTGCAGGACT